GTAAGATTTGGACACGAGAAACACTTTTATGTAAGAATTTAAATATATATTTAGGAAATTCTACTCACCTGTAAATCCACACGCACGATTATTTTATCGTCGTCTATCAGTAGACGGGAGGCAAACTTTTTTATGAACACATCACTGAAAGAACAGAAAAGTAGAGATAATGTTTATTAGGTTAAAAACGCAGCTTGCTAAGCTATACTTAAATTAGTGAGAACCGCATAGAAGAGCAATATTTATTAATACGTTTCTTATTAATATTCAGCTCAGCTCAACATACATACATGTATGTAGTCAAATACATTTAAAAATACGTTTCTTGTTCATTTTTAACTCAGCTCGACATACACACATATTTGCTAATATACATCCGTGTACATACATTTAAATACATACAAACTAACATGCTTTTAAATTCAATAAGACATAGTTTTGTTAAAATTAATTACCAGTTTTCTGACCTCCACCATAGCCGCCTCCTTCTTCTTTGCTTAAGTTGCCGCCTCCTCCAAAATTGAAGCTTTAGTCACCTCCTATGTTTAAGCTGCCGTCTCCTCTAATGTGAAGTGAAGCCTATGCGACTTACTTGAATTCATGAGAATCGAGTAGTAGGGCATTAGGTAATTTAATCTGCAGAGCATATATACACGCATACATTCATACATTCATACATTTATACATTCATACATTCATACATTCATACATTCATACATTCATACATTCATACATTCATACATTCATACATTCATACATTCATACATTCATACATTCATACATTCATACATTCATACATTCATACATTCATACATTCATACATTCATACATTCATACATACATACACACATACATACATACATACATAAATAAATAAATACATGCATGCTGACATAAAGACATACATACACCCATACAGACATACGGACATACATACATACATACATACAAACAAACACATGCATACACATACAAACACACATACAGACATACTTACACCTACATAAAGACATAACTAGGTACATACATACATACATAAATACATACATACATACATACATACATACATACACACATACATACATACATAAATACATACATACATACATACATATACATACACACACACACATATACATACATAAATACATACATACATACATACATACATACATACATACATACATACATATACATAAACATACATACATACATATACATTCGTACATACATACATACATACATATACATACATACACGCATACATGCATACATACACGCATACATGCATACATGCATTATTGCATACATGCATACATGCATACATGGATACATGCATACATACATACATACATACATACATACACCTTATGTATACTCTTTGATATTCTGTACTCAATGCAAGACGTTCACATATCTAACAAACAGAGGAATGCACCTCTGAGCGCACAGCTCGCAGATTCTGATTCTTCAAGCTAATGGTTTGTGCTTTGGCATTTACACACATTTAAATGCATTATGTAAGACCTGCAAATTTAATAAAAAAAAAAAACTAACTTTGCTTGTGTATATACATATGTATGTATAGAAGAAACGACAGCTCAATGCTGGGTACACGGTATCTCTTAGTCATGCATTCCTAACTCTTCTTATATTATTATTAAATAATGCCGGCTGGATATACGAGACAATATTTATGTGTTATATATGTTATACATATACATTGTGCAAACGTAGCTAGTTAATTGACTAAAAAAATATCGTGCACTCCGAATTAAAAAAAAAAAAACTAATAATAATAAACAAATAATAGGTTAAGCAAACATGTTATTTGCCAATCAAATAAAAAATAAATAAAAAAAAATCTACTTGACATGTGACCATGACGGGACTCGAACCCGCAATCTCCGGATCCGAAGTCCGACGCCCTATCCATTAGGCTACACGGCCCACGTATGTCCGTCTGACAAGGGGATGTGATAAGCTTCTAAATGAATTGACTTAAACGAGTAGTAAACAAATTATGAATAACAAATTAATAAACCCACAACACGATCAAAAAGCATTATTGAATTAAGAAAAAAGTTAAAAAATGTACAAAATAAATTTTGAAAAGAAAAAAATAAATAAAACGAGTTAAAATATATATATGTATAAATTAATGTAATTCAAGTGTTTTAAAGTTTTGCTGGGAAAAATGGCTTGAAATAAAATTCATTTTATGTAAATACTTTCTAGCCAAATAATTTACGTGCACAATACATTATTTATACACATGAAAACATGATGTCAGTCATAGGTTGCTGTAAAGGAATTGTTTAGATGTTGTCTTCTTATATTTTAGATACAAGGTAAAAAATGAAAAGGAAATGAATAACAATATTTATATAATGCATACTCGCCATATACTCACGTGCTCAGTACCTGTGCGTGCAACTTAAAGCTGGGTGAATGTGTCGAGGTGGCAAGAACAGGGCTGGGCGGCATTAAGTGAGTGTGACAGGCTCATTGTCCGTTTGCAAAATTACGCACATATCCTGTAAATTTAAGAATGCCATCAACACACACACACACGCACGTACACACACATACACATACAAAAGGCAAAACAAATTGAGCGTTTGGCAGGCATATGCGCAACATATGCGGCAAGGCTAGTGGCAGGGCTGGTGGCAAGGCTGGTGGCAGGGCTGGTGATGTTTGGCCGTGTGGGTCCTTGGCATAGGGCTTGGGTGTCTGGCGACCACATTTACAGCTGCAACATAAAAATTGTTGCAGCTTTTTCCAGTGCGACGTGTTATCTCGGCTGTGCGTCATTTCACAGCAAAACGACACAACGGCAGCAGCGACGGTGGCGACGGCGGCAGCAGCGGTGGCAGCGGCAGCGAAGGCAAAACACAAAGCAAAATCTGACAATAAGTGTGAAAATGGTTGCGCGCCGCAGTCGGCGTCGCTGCCGTTTCATGCAAAACTAAAAGAAAAATGTTTAAATATTTCCTGCTTTTTATTGTGGTTACTGTTATGCCCCAACAGCGCGCGGGGGCATGCAAAATCAAATGGCAGCAGCAGCAGCGGCAGCTAAAAACTCAATGTTGAAAAAAAAAAAAAGAAAAAGAAGAAAATGTGGCAACACTTTCCGTGTGTTGCTTCGCCCGCTCAACGCGCTGTTTACTTTTGCCATTGTTGTTGCCGCTGCTGCTGCTGCTGCATCCACGCGCAAAAATATGAAAACTTTCGACAGGAAACAGGAACTGATAAGGCTATTTTTGCCAGGCAGCAGCCGCCTGTCGACGCTGCCCCTGCCACTCCCTTAGCTCGTGTCATTTGCGTTACTGTTGTTCCACTTTATGTTTCTGTTGTTGTTGTTGTTGTTGTTGTTGTTGTTGTTGTTGTTGCTGTTGCTGTTGTCGCTGCTCGCTTTGAGCGTTTTGACACCAGCGCCACCGCCGTTCACCAAAACTTATTGTGCAAGATTTATTTTAGCCTCCGCCTCCGCCTCCGCCTCTGTCGCCGCCTTCTCATCGACCTCCGCCTCCTTCTACTACCAAGTACAACAGCTCTTGGCCATGCCTGGTTTGGCAACCTGTTTCGCACTTGCACCTCTTCTAGTTGGGGATCGTTAAGTTATTGCCACGCCCGCCCACTCGCTGGCAACCCATTGTCAGACGGCCAACCTATAGCCTGGCGAAGTTTTAGTGATGTACTCGTGCTCAAACTGTAAAAGCTATATGCCAATGCAATTTATATAAGACTACAAAATATATAGTTTAAATATCTGTCATCAGCATGAATATTTAAGTTTAGAAGAGACAAATTAAATGGGTCAAAAAAAACCTTTGGTGTATGTATGTATTGTATAATATTATGTTTATATTATTCTAAACATATTATATAATTTATATATATTACTATCATATATTACTCAGCGCTGGCCAGAACAAGTTTTAATCTTCAATTCCTTTCCCGCCCATACGAAATTTAATTAAATTTCAATATTTAATTTTATTGGTTATATTTATTGTATTTATACTTTACTAGCCTGCATTATCAGGTCCAAGTTTTTTCTTCAATTACTTGTATGCCCATTACCCGCCCAAGAAGTATTCAATGGATTTTCATCCATTTCATTCCACTTTCCGTCAATTTTCCACATACGCGGGTGGAATATCCAAGCACAATTTGGGCTTTCTAGCTCCTATGGCGTTGATCATCAATCGTCAGTCAGTCAGTCTGTCAAGCAGGACAAACAGTTATATATATACAGAGATTATTTCAAATGGTACGCTTTATTGTCGTGTCACGACACGTGAACATTCCAATGTACCCCGAACAATGTTGTTTGCCCTCCGGCGCATTTTTGATGTCATGTTGTATCTTTGGGGCAACTTTTTCATGTTGCTTGGTGTCTGTTGTCACTCACTCGCATTCGACGGCAACAGCAACTGTTGCCAGTTGCACTTTTTTATGATATCTACGATACGAGCATGTGTCCGCAGCCGTGTCCCAATTTCAGTTGAGTTCGAGTTTGAACCTGGTTTCGAGATTCGGTTCTGTTTTCTTGTGACATTGCGGTTTACATTTCATCAATGTGCGCTCGCAATTTGCAAGTTTTATGAGCAGTCTTTGCTTTTTTTCTTGTTTGTTTTTTCGTATTTTGGGTATTTGTTTCTTGTTCTCTTCGTTTTTTGGGGCTTGTTCACGCTGGCTTTGTGGCTGTCGTTAGACTAACAACAATGGAGGCCATCATGATGCTGTGGCTGGCATTGCCTACTTAGGCAGCTTAGGGCCTTAGAGGGTGCTTTAAAGCCGCAACTGATTTAATTAAATAAGTCACCCACCCGATGGCTGCCAGGTAAGCCATACAAAAGCCATTCCATTAGCGCGACTCGACAGCCGACCGCACGCCCCCGATCGTTGGCAGAGACAAAAGAAATCTGCTTATTTAGTAAACACTTTAGCGCTGCCGTTGGGCCAATAAAGGCGACGTGGCATCGTCGCGCAACGAGTGCAACATAAAAATACGACCATGAATTAACGTTAAAACATTGCCAAAAAGGCAGCCGGGCTGCCGGGCTGCCGGACTGGCGTGCTGGAGTCATGTGCCACAGGCTCCTGTTGCCGCAAACAAACACATAAAAATGTTGTGGACGCACCGCATGGCGTGGTCTGGTCGGGTCGGGTCTGGACTGGTCTGGTCTGGACCAGGCCAAGCCGGGCCTGCTGTTGTGGTCCTGGCCATAGCTGGCGTGAAAAATCATTTAATTTACTACACAAACACAAAGAAACACTGCGCAAGGGCAGGACACGCGGCGCAGCGGCCTAACAATATGAAGTAAGTTTCATTTAATGGACTGCACGCGAGCTCAGTGCAAAGATGTTGGCAATGCAAAGCTAAGCCCAGTTTTGCGGTTGGCTAACACACACACGCACACACACACACACACACACTCGTATATATACATATGGGCACATACAGCTCCATTTGTGCGCCGTCAAAAGCGAAAGTGTTAAAGTGGTTGCATATGCAACTGACCCCGCAACATGCGGCCGATTTATATAACTCGCGCGCGTGCACTGAAAGAAACAGTTGCCAGAGTTGACAGAACTTATGCTTGGACATTACGCTTAACAATCAAAAAAGTTAATAATTAAAATTAATTTTTCAATAAATACTTAAAATTAAATTTATAAAATAAATAATCTGAGTTAATTCTGACCATAAATTGTTGTCTTTCACTAATTATTGTAATTTTAATTCTGTGCTTATGTCATTAATGATGAGGGAAAGAAGTAATAATTATAAAACAATAAACTCTCTTAATCATTGGTTAATAATGTAGAAAAATTATTAAAATTCTCAAGTATATATTATGCTTCCAAATATTGATAGGTCGTAGACATGACAGTAACAACGACCACGACTTACAACATTACAATATACAAATACAAATGATCAAAAGCTCGCACAGAAAAGAATTTTAAAGAAAATTTCTTTTACTTGTATTAAAAGTTTCTAAACTATATTTCCGTTAATAACTCTTGATTCGAAAAGCAAGAAAATAAAAACCCATCATATAAGTCAAAAGTTAATAATTAAAAAATATTGTTTTGCCTGTTCTCAACTCTCCAAAATCAAGTAAATGAGCTTTGAGAATCTGCGACACATTCTAGTTGCGAACTCTTGTTTATATTTTCTAGTTCTTAGCCAATTTTTCTCTCTCTGCATGGAGCTATACATGGCACATGGTCAGCAGCTGCTGCTGCTGGGGAATGGAACGCTTGGCTAATCCATTTGGTAACTGTTGCTGGCAGGGACAGTACGGAGACCAGAGAGTCCATAAAGGTTTTAGGGCAGGGGCTGTTGGAAAACAGCAATCACTTGCCTGGACAAACAATAACAGTGACACTTAAGCAGCCGTTTGTCCGTCTGGCTGTCTGTCCTACATGTTATAGCAGTATGAAATACTTATATCAATATTTGTGCAAGACATATCACAGCAGTTGGGCATACGATGCGTTCGGGCCGCAACGCACGCACGCCCAATACCTAACAAATCCCACGTAAATGCTGAACATAGACTCGCCGCGCCGGCTGAAGCGCTGGAATGCATGTTGACGGCTGTCAAGTGGAGAGTGTGAGTGTGTGTGTGTGTACGGCATACGACTTCCGTTTGTATGTTGGGCATGGCAATGGCCATAACCGTTTGCCGGCAGGCTGTGCAAATATTTTAACATTTCCGACATTTCGACGACACGTTGAAAGGATTTACAAAAAATAACACGTGGCAAGCAAGACATTTACGTCGGGTCTAGTGGCTAACAGGCCTATAAAAAGCGAAACAACAACGATATGCCGCCGATATGGGGCTGACCGATCGCCGCCAGTGCCCAGAGCACAGACACCCGACCCAATCCGTCGGGAACAAACAACAAACGTTGGCCAAATATTTGCACAAATGACAAAATGACTGTTCGATGGAACGGAACGTGCGGGCAGAGCAGTGCGTCGAATATCATGGATTCAATAAACACTTCAAACATAAACTTGACGATTTATTGCGATTCCATGTGTGTGCGTCTGTGTGTGTATGTGTGTGTGTGTGCGTGTTGTGCGCGTGTCTCATATTCGTATGACAGTTTGCTGTGTCTGGTGGGCAACGCGTCGTATACGCAATGAATTATTAATTCGTAGCCCGGGGCCTCCGTGTGCTCGCTCGCTCGCTCTGCACGCTACGCCAAAGCATTTAACTGCTGACAAATGATAAATTTATTATTTACCAGCAGCACACATAGAAAAAGTGATGCTGTGTGTGCGTGTGTACATGTGTGTGTGAATGAGTGAGCGAGACAACGGCCATTGCATTTGCTAGATTAAAATATGTTTTAATATTTGCTTTCTTTACACTTGAGCAGCACAACGCACGCACAAGCACATTCTCACACACTTTCACACATGCTCGCATAAACACACACACACACACACACACGTTCACGCGCACACACACACATCCGCACGTCTTATCCTTGTTGGCCAGCATGCGATAATCACACACCTTTTGATTAATTGCCAACACCGACGGAGCAGTTGACTTAAAGTGACGCGTCGCAACGTCCAAAACCAACCGAAGAACCACCCGAACGCACCAAACATCGGCAAACAGCTCAACTATATCTATATAGATATATATATGTTTGTATATATACATATCTAGATACCATATATTTGGCGAAGGTGAACGCAAACGTGACGGCTAAGTGCAAGTTCAACAACGCGTTGCAAGTTTTCTTATCGCCAAAGCGAAAGTAGCAAAAGTTGCCAAGTTTTCCTTCGCACCTTTTCGCGTTCCACACACACAAACACACACAAAGAGAGATAGAGAGAGAGCGAACGACTTAACCAGAGCTCACACAGACGTGTCCGAAACGGCATTTGGGCGCTTATCACGTCAAAGTATGCGCGAATCCTTAATTACGCGCCGCTCCTCAACTTCAGCCGCTTACTGCGCCGGCTGTGTGGAGGGGGCGGGTGATGGGGGCAGCATTCGGTTTGGATCGCCGCCACAAATTTGCATAGTTTGCAGTTTGACATCTGCTCTGTCAACGCGAGATTTTGCAGTTTGCCCACAAACAAAATCGGAAAGCAGTAAACATAACTATTTTGAAGAATTAAGTTTAGCTTAAAGCTTGTCGCACAATGTAGTTTGCTGCAAGCGATTAATAAATATTATTGAATAATCTCTCATTATTAATATTTATCATGATCAATCAATTAAACTGGTTCAACAACATCGTTCACCTAGCTACTGAGCGTAAAATTACCAGCGTATTTTTAGGTTGGGAATTATAACATGCCCCTAAAAGTATGCAAATCAAAATTATTGATGTTGTGTATGAATTTCAGTTAAAATTTTGGATTATAATGCTACAACGTAGATCCGGGTTCGAAACTCGGTCAAAGTTAGCCGAAATTGTAACCCCATGCGTTTAATTATAATTATAAATATAAATTGAATATTTTTTTTAGTAATATTATTAAGAAAAATAAAAATGGAAATTATATTTATGAGAGTGAATGTTTGTTCTATGAGGGCAGACAATGTAAAGTTAATAATTTTACATATTTAATTTTGTGTACTTTTAAATAAAACATAAACACATTGAAAAAGCAATTGTGCCGTATACAAACATGTTGCTTAAAAAAAAAACATAGCAATAACAAGCTAAAATCACTCAATGCCAACATAATTCAATATTGAAATCTTTACCTAAGTAGTATATGTACTTTAATATTGAAAAAGAATACAAATATAAAAAAATGAAACCAGATGCCCCGTGCCCTGTTCGACCCAGCGCAATGCCGTGTCGTAGCCGTTATCATAAAACGATTTCCCTCATTTATAAGTAAGTAGAAACAAAGCGTCGCCGTAGCCTTGGCATCGGCTCACCAGAACGTGCGGCATTTGGGTGGAAAAAAAGTAGAAGAAGCAGAAGACGAAGAGAAACTTAAATTATGGCAAATCAATTGCCAGGGCTCCAGTTCTCTAGCAAGTGGTAAAGAAAACATAACCAGACCCGGTGCCAAAGCCAGGGCCGTAGCTGGGGTAGACCGTGTGGAACCAGCTGCTGTGGACTGGAAGCCAGCGAAAGGACCTTTCGAAGTATCAACAAACATTTACTTTTGGCCCACGGAATGGGTTGTGCCCGTGTCTGCCTTTTGCTTTTCTTCTGTTTTTGTTTTCATTTTTTTCCCCTCGCTCTCGTTTTTTTTTTTTTTTTTTGCCATAAAGCACATTTTATTGAGTTGTCGAACTTAAGCACCAAACAGCCAAAAAAAAAAAAAAAACAAAAAAAATAAGAGAAAATGCCAAGCTGGGGCCACGGGCAGCTCAAAGTGTGGGGCAATGTGTTGCATAGACGGCTCAATAATGTGCCAGGCAGGGCGCCACTTTGGACATGTGCAACACAAACGGGGTCCAGGCAATTGGCAACATTTTGGCAACAACCCGCACAGACACACACGCACACACCCGCACATAAGGACTGATAAGTATTTGTATCGTCCCGTCCTGTGTGTGTGTGTGTGTTGAGGGTGGTGGTGGTGTGCGTGTGTACGTAATCGTTTACAGCTGCTCGAATGCGCAAATAATTTGAAACGAATGTGCTCCAATGTTCATACGCAAAAGCCACCGCCATTCCACCATTCGCCCATGCAATGCCATAAAGTAGGCGACCCACTTACCATGGGCCAAACACGTAACTCAACTCTCGTAACTTCAGCCTGCAGCACGTTAAGTTGGCTGTAGCTTGCTTTCAAGCTAAATTAAACTTAAAAAAAACGCACTTATATTAATAATGTAATCACAAATTTATTGAAACTAAATATATTTTTTATACCGATTTATTTTTTAAGTTAAATTTTCAATTTAATTTGAATACAAAAAAGATTTATTTTTGAATTTTCATACGCATTGAAATGTGTTCAATCCCAATTACAACTAACTGAACGCTGCATTTATTTAAAGCTTCGATATCAACAAATTTATCGTTATCAATAAAATATTTATTCCACTGCAGGCTAACATTGTTTTGTGCCACTGTGCGCAGAGTCTGGCCTTGTGGGAGTCTGTTTTTGTTCTCCAATTTTCGCACTCCTTGGCTGCGCGTCTGACTATGTGTGTGCGTGTGTTTGTGTGCGTGTGGGTGTGTGGCTCATTAGTACGAGTACTATTACAAGCACATTGCTTCGTCATAAATGGCTGACGCCATCCCAGAACACAAGCCCAAACGTCAGCTTGTCCTTTTGCCCGTCTAACATTACCGAAGGGCATCAACGTCCCTCCCCGGCCGTGTCGTGGGTATCGGGGGCATCTCAGTCGGGCCATTGTTTTATCATATTTAAAAATGAATTTACGTTTTTCTTGGCAGCCACGATGCCAACGCGTCCTCTCACTGTAAGCTATCAATAATTTACTTTTCTTTAATGCACAGCAGCCAATTACCGCAAGGAAAAAACCTGGTGGCGCACTACGGAATTCGGGACACTTCTGACACAGTACAATCACATGTGATGCGCCTTAAGCTCGGCTTCCTCATAAATATGACACTCTATTAATTGCGGTAAAAACAACTTTACATCAACTTCGGAGTGTGGGTCGCAATTAAAATGCTGCCAAAGAACTTTAAGTTCGCGACAAGCTTTACGAAGGGTAGCGGGTGCGATGCTGGCATGCGATATGGTTGCGATATGCCCGCCGCCCGCTGCCATTATTTTAATTGTGCCATTGGGTACGGTGGTCAACTTAAGGATAAAGATTTAACCAAGTCATAAAAGGAAAACAATAACGAAAGGAGAACACCCTCTACTTCTCGCATAGTGTGTATTTCAAATTCGTCCCGCATTGTGTGACATCCACTTGGGTTAAAAGACTCTTGATCTTATTAGGCATATTTATCTTTGATATAGACTGAATGCTCAGGCCATTAAGGAATTTTTACACTTGTCTGTCCGAATATATTCATGTCTAACTCAGATCATTTGGGACTTTTTCAAGAAAACTCAAATATATATATTTAATTGTATACTTTTAAATTTTCAAATATCCGTGAAAGTTTTTTATTTAGAAATAAAAAATACTAGGAAATCGACCGTATTTATAAATGTACTTACCGAAAACTTCACAACCACGATTTTTTACATCTATCCGTAGGTGCGAGGCCAAATCACTGAAAAGAACAAAAGATGCAGAGAACAGGTAAGAGCAAGAGCAGGATTAAGGAATAAATCGAGAGAGAGAGAGGGGGGGGGGGGGGGGGGGAAGAGAGAGGAAGGGAGAGAGCACGCAACTCTTACTTGAACTCATGAGAATTGCATAGAAGAGCGATACAAAAGAATACGTAAGAGCGCAGTGGGTAAAGCTGACAAAATATGTGATGTAAATCTCGTCTGCGTTTAATAATTAACTTACATACATTCTTATAAATTAAATATATACAAACACATACACGCATACATAATAATAAAATTAAAATTGTTGTGGACTTTTTACTGGGATTCAAATAGCGAGTGTTGCCCGCACTTGCCATGTTGGTCCGCTCGTGGAAATACGCGCTAGCTTGAATATCTATTTTAGTTCAATAACGAAGCGATTTACCTATTTTCGTATAAAAAAACCTTGATTATCTAAGACCCTAAGATCAATACAGTTATTGCAAGAGTATTTAATCTTCGACAACTCCAAAGGACAACTCTTTGTGCTTGTATTTTTGCTTTATTACGGATTATCGGACTAACAAGTTAACAAGTCCATTTTGTCAGCAGGGCTGGCGGGAGGCGGGTACATCGAGGGTATAAAGCATTGCGTGTAATGAGCTGCGAAACGCATTGAAAACGCAAACGCGGCAGGTTGGGGGGGTCGCGGGGGTCGGTCTGTCGGCAGAACGCGTCCAAATCAATTGCAACTGATTTTAGTATGCATCAAACGTTTTACAACTATTTTTCTTAACGCATTTTATTAGCGCTAAGGGAAACTGCGACCGGATCGGATATACCATGCCTAGGGGGATGACCACGAATGGACTGGAGAGTTGACGGGTGCTGGGGCCTGGGGGCGGGTTGGCTTGATGGGGGATGGGCACGGCACGTACTCATTTAAACCGACGCGCCTGACGAGCTAATGGTGTCCGTTTGTTGTTGCTGTTGTTGTTGTTGTTGTTGTTGGTTGTTGCTGCTGCTGTATCTCTTCATGGCAACCATTGTCATATTAAAACCGCAGTGACGAAAGCAAAACGAAGGCGCCAGGGCAATAGAAGGGAGTCGTAGCCGTGCATAGCATTTTCTATTAACAGCAATAAAATGTAAGCAGTTGTCGGCAAGGCATGGACGGGGGCAGGGCTAAAGGGAAAATGAGTCAAGCACTGGGACAAGCAGAGGCTGGCAGCGTGGCGAGTTTATATTTTCGCATTTTATTGTTATTGGGCAGCCAATTTGACCCGACGCGTCCCAACGCCATCCCAGGCCGTAGGAAGGCAAACAGATACAAATAAACGCACACGCTCATGGAATTCTCAAATATAACATACAAGTATATACTTATGCAAGTATATACTTATGCAACAATATATATTATAAAATTTACACTTGTTGGAAAACAAAATGCTTTTGCATAAGGTCCCGACATGATAAGCATTAGGCAGTCATGTTCCCCAAAAGGATTTCGCGACAGTTTCTCAAAGTCCGACATATGGTATATGGATATATATATCTATCTATAAAAACAAAAATAATAATGTACAAATAAAATAAAAAATTTAAAATTGTTCAAATTATTTCAATTTCATTTCAAAAACTGTTTACAAATAAAAGCAAAATCTTCAATGTTGCTTAGTTTCATTAGCTTTTTGATGTATAAATACAAAGTTTATAAAATATGAAATAAAAGAAAGCCTAAAAAAAAAAATATAGTATTATTGTTGACATGTTCGTGGAGTTCAACAAAACTCACGTATATATAGTTCTTGAAATATGGCTTAACATAAAAATAAAATAAAAACAGTTTAGAAAAATTTCCAATAATTCAAGCAGAGTTAGAAATTTATGAAAATATTGCAAACTCTCTCCTCTCTCTCTCTCTCTCTTTCTCCCTCTCTCTCTCTCTCTCGCTCTCTCTCTCTTTCTCCCCTCTCTCTCTCTCTCTCTCTCTCTCTCTCTCTCTCTCTCTCTCTCTCTCTCTCGCTCTCTCTATTACTTTGTCTCTAGCTTCAACTCGCCCGATTTGGGGGCTTGTTGAAAGCATTATAAATAATACTTAAGAATATGCTTCGAATATTTATGTATGAGAACGTGTTCGTAATGCACAAAAACTGTTGCTTTTTAAGAAATTAGTTTAAATGCAAACAATGCCAAACTGACAATTTTGCTTCCAGACTGGCTGCGGGGTGCGGGGTGGTAACTGGAAAAAGGGACATGGGGAATGTGGTACAGGGTATGGCAACAACAATACTGCAATTAAATAAATGTTTTTGGCCGGCTGTCGCAAAAATGCCAAAGGACTTGAAATGGTTTTATGACGCGCGCGTTTACTACAAAGTAACAGGCGACAGGACGAAGAGGACTGCAGGCAAATAGGCAACAGGCAGCAGGCGGCAGGCAGCCGGGAGGAGTACTCCGGCGTACAGCCCGGAGGAGGGCTCAGCCAAATGCAGTTGGTGCCAGGCAGTCCGCCAAATAGCGCAACACAAAAACAGGCAAAAGAAATAATTTAGCTTAATTCAATGCAATGGAGCGAGCGGGCCGTTGCGGGGCGGGGCTCGGCACAAAATGCAAGTGAAAGGAGTTGCACCGAGTGGCGACGCGGAGTCACTTCCTCTGGCGCAATTAGTGCAACATTGTTGAACGTTCCCCATCTATTTTTTTTCTGTCTCTGCAGCGCGGTTTTCGCTTGTTGCTTATGCAACGGCGCCAAAACGACTTAAAGTAAGCTTCATGGCCGAGAAACAAAGCAAAGGGCAAGTTTAAGCGCAAAGTCAAAGTGGATTTTGGGACTCCACTGTGTATACACCTCGAGGGAGTATGACACACTTGTCACGAAATGTGTAACGCATCAAGGTAGACATCTGGGTTCCTATTTATCATTTATATATGAATCGCAACCGAATTCTTGATCGAACGTGGCATTACTTGGCTGGAAAATTAAAGATATCTATTATACCTAAGGAATCGCTCAAATAATGATTTTTTGTATGAAATATTTTTCTGCATTTTTCGACAAGTTGACTAAGCTCAGCCAAATTACGATCTTTAGTTTAATGCTGACTTCTCTACCAAGCCCTTTCTTATCTATTTATAATATACAACCAGTCGGAAGAGAAACGTTCACAAGGGTATTTAAACGTCGTTGTACTAAAGATAGTCGTTCTTTCATGTTACATTTTCCTTCCTTTTTTTTTTGTGCAATGTGCATCAAGTGGCAACAGCAACAGCCACAGAACAAAAAAACAAAAAAAAAGGGGGGCAAAAGAGCTCGTTTCAAGTGAAGTGCGGCGCGCTATCGCATGAGGATGCGAATGTGAATGTGAATGTAGATGTGGATGACGTTTGGAATGTCGGAGTTAAGTGTTGACGGGCCCGTGCTTCACTTTTAATTTCAATGCGAGGTGCCGCCACTTTTTTGCCAGTGTGTTAGTTGATGAGGCCATTGTAAGTCAACGCAGTCAACGGACAGTGGAGCAAATGCAACCACCGCACCACACGCCGCCACAAAAATAAAAGCCTAAGGTATGAGGGCCTGTTAGAATTTTAACACATAAAAATCAATTCAACAGGGCGAGCAGAGATTAAAAAGAAAACGCTGTTCCATGGCAAGGCTTACATGTTATATCAGTTTTTAATAACCATATTTTAAAGAAAATCCTAATCTACCGAACAAAAATAAAAATTAGGGCAACAACCAAACTTAAGCTCAGCTCCTTCACTCCATCTTAGTTATTGGCATCCAGAACTCGGCGAATACTATTACATTTACTTCTATCGATATAATTGAAATAAATTGAATAAATAGAAATATTTACCACTAAAGCAGCATTAGCACAGTTAATAGCAGCAACTAAACCTGATCGAAACTAAACTAAACCTAAACTAAACCTGATCGAAACATTTTCTTTTCAATTTTTGTGGAAAAGCGAACCGTAAACCGAACAGCCAAATATTTTTCCGGACATTCCAGCCTTCTGATGAACTTTTTTAAAATCCAATTGGGCATGGCAAAAACTAAACAAATACTTATTTAACATTTCATACCTTACATATTGAACTAAAGTAAATTGAAAGCTAAATAAAACAATCAAGTAGTTCATGCCAGCACAACAAATTTTGCATTCTTTTGGGCTGGAAACCAATCAGACACAACAAAAGGATTCGAACGAAAAAGGGTCACAAGTAACGTAAGCGAAATTGCAAAAACTTGTCACAAGATAAAGAAAATAAGAAAAGAAAAAAACAATAGGAAAACAAATTTATACTCGCATTTACGGACTGTGTGGCAATTGACGACCAGCTGCCACCCACAGCTGAAGAACTCAGATTAAGTAAACCAATAAAAATTAATTGAAATTCAACTTGGCAGAGATTATGCTACAAATCATTTACATTTAGCAAGTGTTATCCTTTCTTTAATCAAATAAATAAGTTTTCATTAACCTCATTGCAAGTTCCTGTCAAAGTCTATGTTAGCCCAAACCTCAACAAACGCATTTGACTATTTGGTGCTGCCATATGTGTCATTTATTTTCCGGTGGCAACTCCACAATTTTATTTTACCCTCACTTAGTCATAAAAACATAAGTAAATGCTGGTTTAATTGAAACTTGAGACTTTGTTTGCGAAAATAAATTAATATAAATGTAAAATTTACCAAATGAATAAACAAAATTATT